CTGGAAAACTACTCAGTGAACAGCAAAGACAACATCTGAGACTATATTTGAACATTATTAGTTTTGTATAGGAAATAGGAGTATGTGTTAAGTGCTTGCTGTAAACTGCAAAGTATCATAAATCCTGTTGATTTTTGTAGGTCAGATCCCAGAAGAAATCTGAGCAAAGAGACTGAAATGTAGATAAGAAGAAAAAATTTCCTCAGGCTGTTATATGTAAGAATAACAAGTAATACTTAGAAGTAAAGCTAGTAATTCCCCAAACACGACTGCATTCAGCCTATGCAAATATTTCAAGTGAAATTCAAAAGCTAAATATTTTAAGTCAATATTACTGCTCTCCAAAATAAGTAATGCGCTCACTGAAATATTTCATGAATCTACGCATAGTTCTTCACAGATTTAGTCCTTTAGGCCTCCTATGTGCAGTCTATACTCGTTCCACACTCAAAGACATCGTCCTACTCAAGGTCAATAAGAAACAAAGAGACCTTAAATTAAGCAAGTGTGCAACAGAGGCAATGAAGTGCAGTGCCCATCAATACAGTGTAGTTTGGTTTAGAAAGGCAAACCTAGGCTTCAGCTTAGTCACTCTCCAGGACCTTCAGTTGACTGTATTATTTCAGGAAGAGGGCATTTCGACTGAGACATCTGCTCAGTGTTTGGCTGCTGTCAAAAAAAAAATATCTACCAGCAAAGTATTTTGGATAGAGTATTAGTGTGCCTGCTCTCAGACTTGAGTTAAAGCTAGTCCTCAGTTATTACTGAGCCACAGCTTAGAACTCTGACATATTGGACTCCCTAAGACTCCTTTCCTGCACATCAATTTTGTTTGGGTAAAGCTCAGTGCTACACACGTCAGATCAGAAACCACAAATATTCCTTCTGCATGCCTCTCTTACAGCTAGAATAATGAATTTAGTTCTCAGCCTGTTAGCTCACCTCCATTCACTGCCTGGATTATCATAAACACAGATCTAACACATCACATCCTAGTATTTTCAGACGTGGGCTATTTTATGTATTTGGATAAAACCACTGTATATAGGAAGTGTTAAGAGGCCATACTAAAGACAGAATTAATACAATGAATGAACAAAGCCTAACCATCTTGTACAGACATGCATTTATATAAATAGAAAACTGAAGAAGCAGCCTCCAGATGGTGAAATGTAGCCCGATGGAACAGATTTGGAGCCAGTGGGACCAAGGGAACACATCCACACTCTAAGCTGCAAGACTCATCCCTGCTTTCTAGCAGTAGGAAGTGGCTTTATAATGCTCAGAATACAATTTTTAACACCAATAAAAGAATCATTTTTAATTTTCTGTTATTACTACTAAAATACTTAATAAAATCACGTAATTGGTGTCTGACCAAATGGTTGGGGAGAAGTTTAATGCTACAGGAATTACTCTTTAAGGTAAAAAGAATTTGTCACAAGTGGGCTGTAAGTGAGCTGCTTGTGTAGAACTTCTACACGTTAAACACAAGCTACTGGAGAAAGGTGTTTGCATCTTACAGAATTGTTCTCCCATATTTCTGTGAAGGGTAAATCTTACTTTATGGCTTAGGGTACTCTTATTACATAAGAGTGATATATAATAATATTATTACGCTATGTAATTTAAGTAGCAAGGCAGAATAACTTCTGACATAAAAAAGGTTTTTATGAAGCTTAATTGTAAATAAGACAGTGATTTAACAAGGTTTATAATGGTTGAATATACTTATTATCTACTGTATAGAAGGCAGAGTTGGACACATTCATTCAGCACCCTCCCACTTGATCATAAGGCTCAGAGAGGACACCCTTCTTTTCTCAACTTGAACCATAGAGGTAAGGAGCTTGAGTATGGCTGGATCCACCCCAAGTCCCATATTTGCTCCATAGCTCATATCTAATCACATGCACACAATCAGTTCAAGACATAAACTTGGCAAAACTAAGAAAGCTTAAGACAAACAATTAGTCACCTACCACAGTTCTGTAAGAGCAAGGTATCTTGATATCAAGGTGTAAGAGATCTCTGAATCTGTATAATCTTGACAGGTGTCCCCACTAAAGGGAGACTGTCACACAGACAGCTGCTATGCAGGAGCACACAGAGGGCTCCCAGGCCCCTGGACCACCACTATTTATGGGGTAAGAAGACTGACTCACAGCTGGTTTGTAGGCACATGCTCAGTTATAATCAGCTGTTGAACCAGGTGTTTGCTATCAGTTCTTCCAGCCACGCAATCTGAGGAAGATGTGTGGTCATAAATCTCCCTTAACAAGGGATACAGTTATCTGTACAGTTACTTCTCTACCTGAGTGAGGTCCTGTGAACAAGGCCTGGCCCAAGGAGAGATTTGTTGGGAAGAAGCATTCATGGAGGGAGCGTGATGTCACAACTCTTTAACCAATCCACTGGCAGATTTATTTACACTTATTATCTACTCTGATACTTTAGTTTTGTAATAATCATAACAATTTAAGATTAAAACTCTGCTCTCCTGTTTAACACTAAGTATTTTGGGAAAAAAAATGCATTGGTAGTTTCTTGCTCTTGTCTTCTTGAATGTACAAATGTAATACTTAACTGATGAAAATGAAGGAAGCATTATTGCATCTCCCTTAAGGTCACCATTCTTATCTCTTGTAGACATCTGTCCTTGCTGCTCTCCTCCCAGCAACTCTGTTTGCATATGGATGCTGAAGCAGAAAGCAGACGCTGCTCTTGCTTCCATGGGGAGAAAGAATAATGATTTCTGAGGTCTGAATCCAGCTCGTCTACCAGATGTGCTGCCAACTTTACTGCTATGTGCTCATACGCATACCTGTACACCCCTAACCCGACAACCTGCTCCTGAAGTGAGCCATGTGGCATTGGTGTCATGGTTCATCTTATTTATTTGGTCTGCCATTGGGCTAAGCTAGCTCAAGTTTCATTTTTTTTCCCTCAGATCTGTAACTACCTGATTCAAAAGGTTCGTTCAGTACGATTGTAAGTGGCCACATCCTGCTCTAGAGTACTTACAGCCCAGTTATAAAGCATAAAAAATGCCAAGTGCCAGGGCCTGCAGCTGCAGCCAATGGCTGCATAATAGTGAAAACAGAAAAAAGACCAAACAACAAAACCAGAACCCCAAGAATGGTGAGATCATTGGTAGGAGCTGTGAATCTGTGTAAGGAGTTTTTTACAGCTTTTTACAAGTTGTTAGTTTGGTGGAAGTGGACTAATTACTGCAGATATGGCTGCAATGCTTGCAGAAGTAATTTAGGTTTGATCTCGCACTGAAATAGTGCTGTAATGAGCTCTCCCTGTGAGTTAGCTGTGGGGACAGTGAGAGAAGCTTGCTAGGTAATTTCAGGTAGTTTAAGATATTATTATCTTTTCTGCCTTTTATAGGCAGATCTCTCCTGATCTCTCCTTCATTAGTTTTAATACTAAGCCTTATAAACAACAACACCCAGAATTGGTGGCGGTACATTACCTGCGAGCTGCGAGGCTTCAGCTCGAAATAAACAGCACGCAAAGCACCGTGGCTACCTCGCAGGGACATCACCCAGCCCCACGCGTCTAAATGAGGCACTTGTAGCATCGTCATGACCCCGAACTGTAGCTGAGGATGCTCACCAGCCGCCTGGAAGACTTTGCTCACAGGTCGTTGGTCCCGCCAGGGGGAGCAGGGAGCGGGGAACACCGGCTCCGCGTGTTAAACGGACGAGGAAAATTTTGCCTTACACGATTTTTAATCTGTATTTGTTCCTCCTACCCGGTAATATTTAGAGAAATCAAAATGAGAGGGAAAAAAAAAAAAAGAAGTCAGAGGGAGAGGAACCCGAGAGAACGGCCCGGTTAAGGGAAAACAGACTGAAATATTTTCCTTGAGGGCTGAGCCCGGAGTGGTCAGAAGGCACAGCCCCGAGGGACGCAAAACCGAACCCTGTGCTCCAGCGCTCCGATGTCGGAGGCGCATCTCTGTGGGTGGCACACCGAGGATGCACAACTCGGAGAGATGTTTCCCTGCTCAAACCAAAAGCCCCAAATCTGCTCGGTCCATTTCGAAAATTATTTCCCCCAGAATAAACTGATAAGCAGCTCCTTCTGTGGTTTTCGTGATGCTGGCCGACTCACTGTTATGCTGTCGGCGGAGAAAGGCTCAGACAGCCACGAAACGGCCGCGTCTTTCTGCCCAGCCCCACTCTCCCAGAGGTGCGGTACACCTCCTGCGGGTCCGTGTGCGCGTACCACGTATCCGGGAGAGGAAGCGAGTTAAAAAGCAGAGACCTAGCGCAAAATCTCACGCTCGCTCGTTTTCCGAGTCCCTCAAGGCGCTGCCGCCAAGCCTCCTGCCTTGGAAGGAGTGCCGCCGGTTCGCTCAGAGCCGAGAGAGCCTCGGCCGACACCTTAGAGCCCCCCCGAGAGCGCGGAGCCGTGCGGGGCCGTGCGGGGCGGCAGGTGAGCGCGGGGCCGTGCGGCGGGGGCGGCTCCTCCCGCGGGGCGGCGGCGCGGCGGGGTCGGGCGGAGGGGGCAGCCCCCGAACGCGGCTCC